AGTACACAAACAGCCTCACAGACACACCTTATGTGTGTGCAACAGAAGGAGAGCACAGAGCACTATGTAAGGGAGGAATACATTGAACAAAAAGGAAAGGATGTGAATGGACATAGCTAAGAATTTCCCCACTCTGCTGATCATGATCTCAAGGATGTCCAGGCCAGAATTCCATTTCACTTTGGAAAACCCACTCCATAAAGTTTTCTCCACCTAGGTGTATTCTTATGTGAGGAATCTGTCTTCCTGTGAGAGAGGGCACCACCACAGACTGAAAACCAGTCAAAAAGCAGAGTGATGGCTTTAATTCTCAGAGGTGAATGGACAACCACATCTATGAATTCTGCCTTGAAAAATAAGCTTCCTTCTGCTCTAGGAATCTGGTATAGTTTAGGGCTAAAATGAGAAACACAGAGACCAGCTGGGTCTGTTACATGAGAAGAAAGGAAGCTTGATGGCAGCACTGTAGGTGGCAGCCTCACCTGCCATGCCACAATGCCAGTCCTCAAAATCAGCCTATTTTAAAAAGCATTTTAAATGAGGGATGGGAGAGAGGGACACTGGATTTCATTTTCCACTTCTATTTGAAGAAATGGAATAGTAGAATCCATGCCAGCCTAACACATGGCAGCTTTAGCCACTGATGACATCACAGCTTGCTACCCAAAAGTGGCAGCCAAAATAAACTCAACAAATGAGAACCAAAATAAAACAGAAGAGTTTAACCTAATACCAACAGTTGTTCAGCAGATATCACCAAGATCTTGACACACAGTCATCAGAAGGATAAAGGGTGGGGCTGGCTTTGTGGCACAGTGGATTAAGCCACCACAAAATAAAATGCTGGGATCCAATATGTGTGTCCACCCTTTAAAAAAGATTGATTTATTTGAAAGTCAGAGTTTTGGGGACCAGTGCTGTGGCACAGCTGATTGAGGCCCTGGGCTGCATTCCATATGGTCCCTGGTTCAGGTCTTGGCTGCTCCACTTCCAATCCAGCTGCCTGCTAATGTGCTTGGGAAAGTGGCACAGTATGGCCCAAGTCCTTGGCCATATATCCACATGGAGATCTGGAAGGAGCTACTGGCTCCTGGCTTCAGATCAGCTCAGATCTGGCCACTGCGGCCATTTGGGGAGTGATCCAGCAGACTGAAGACCTCTCTATCTGTCTCTATCTCTATCAGTAACTCTGTCAAATAAATAAAATAAATCTTAAAAAAAGTCAGAGTTATAGAGAGGAGGGAGAGTCAGATGGGATGGCATTGTGGATTAGCAGGTAAAGCTGCTGCCTACAGTACTGGCATCTGGTATAGGCACCAGTTCATGTCCTGGTTGCTCCACTTCTGATCCAGCTCTCTTCCAATGGCCCTGGAAAAGTAGAAGATGGCCCAATACCTGGGTCCTTGCCACCCAAGTGGGAGACCTGAATGAAGCTCTTGGTGCCTGGCTTGGGCCTGGCCCAGTTCTGGTCATTGTAGCCATCTAGGGAGTAGACGAGCAGATGGAAAATCTCTTTCTCATTCTCTCCCTTTCTCTATCTCTGCCTTGCAAATAAATAAATGCTAAAAAAGAGAGAGATCTGCCATCTGACATGGCTGCAATGGCCAGGGCTGAACCACACAGAAACCAGGAGCCAGGCACTTCATCTGGGTCTCACACATGGGTTACAATGGCCCAAACACTTGAGTCATCCTCTGCTGCTTTTCTCAGGCCATCAGCAGGGAGCTAGTTTAGAAGTGGAGCAACTGAGACATGAACTACTGCTCATCTGGGAAGCTGGCATTGCAGGTGGTGGCTTTCCCCATTGTGCCACAATGCCAGCCCCATGAGTGCCAGTTTGAGTCACAGCTGTTCCACTTCTGATCCAGCTCCCTGCTAACACAACTGGGGAAGCAGAAAAAGATGGCACAAGTACTTGGGTCCTTGCACCAACATGGGACACTGGGTTGGACCTCCAGCCTGGGCCAGCATTATTCATTGCAGTCTCTTGAGTGAACCAGCAGATGCAAGATCCCCATCTTTCTGTCTCTGCCTCTTTCTCTGTAACTCTGCCTTTAAAATAAAAATTTTAAATCTTAATAAAATAAAGAGAAAGGGTGAGAGAGTGTCCACAGTAAAGTAACAGAGCAAAGCTACAGTTGTGCTGTCCCTCAGCAGCCTTCTGCCTTAAGTGGGAAATCTCTGGCTTACAGACACTGACATAAAAGACACATTCAAAACACATTTCAAAACAAGAGATGAGAGGTTTACAAGGCATATTGACTTTATGATGACTTTCATTCATTAGGTACACTGGGTTTAGGTATATGCCTTTTGTGCAGCCAAGTTAACCCAGGGTCTAACTCAAAGAGATGTACTGAGGGAGATGTGCTGCCAGGGGAGAGAGCTACAATGTCCCATTGCTCTTGTAGCATCATAAAGGGAAGGAAAAGGTCTACTCATGTCCATGGTTACAAAGAGGACAGAAGCACAAACATTTCAGAAGGCAGGAGCAAATTTCAAATACAGTTATTTTAAGAAAATAAAAGGAAGCAAATTTCAGAATATAACATGGGGTAGAAACACACCATCAGTTCATCAATTCTCACAGGGATCCAGGAAAACTGCCCTGCCTACCCATAAACCAAATGTTTCAAAACATATTTTCTGATTAAATTCAGAAGATTACAGGACTCGGCACTCTGGGTGTTCAAATGCCAAATTAAGTTTTAGTTTCCACTATGGGCATATGTAGCCCAATCACTCAGAACATGAGAAAAACTTTTCCATAAGAAGGAACATGAAATATTCAGTCACACAGAATAACTGTGCTTAGTGCTCAAAGTGAACCAACCCCAGGATAAGCACCCAGAAAACCTGTTAGGTCTTAGGGCCAGCTCCATGGTGAAGCATGTAAAAATTTATTTATTTATTTAAAAGGCAGAGTTACAGAGAGTCAGGGCACAGAGAAAAGTCTTCCATGCACTGATTCACTCTGAAAATGGCTGCAATGGCCAGAGCTGGATTTACTTGAAGCCAGGAGCCAGAAGCTTCTGTCAGGTCTCCCATGCGGGTGCAGAACCCAAGAACTTGGGCCATCTTTCACTGCTTTCCCAGGCCACGGCAGAAAGCTGGATCTCAAACAAGCACCCATATGAGATGGCAGCACTGTAGGTGGCAGCCTCACCTGCCATGCCACAATGCCAGCCCTCAAAATAAACCTATTTTAAAAAGCATTTTAACTGAGGGATGGGAGAGAGCTTGTTTATCCAAAGCAAGGATAACATAACATAACTACTACACAGAAGAAGCTCCTGGCTCCTGGCTTTGGATCGGCACAGCTCCGACCACTGAAGCCAACTGGGGAGTGAACCAGCAGATGAAGACTTCTCTCTCTCTGCCTCTCCTCTCTGTAACTCTGACTTTCAAGTAAAATAAATAAATCTTTTTAAAAAAATAACTACTAGTACTCATTAACTTCAAAAATATAGAAATTTAAGGAAACTCAAAATATAACCAAAATCATCATCTACTACACATTATAATCTTCATTTTGAGAGTGATATTAGAAAAAAATTAACCCCTCCCCCATTGAAAAAATGCACATGGGACTGGTATAGTAAGTTAAGCAGACCCTGGCAGTGCCAGCACCCCACATGGGCACTGGTTCAAGACGTGGCTGCTCCATTTCCAATATAGCTCCCTACTAATTCACCTGGGAAAGCAGAGGATGATGGCCCAAGTGTTTGGGCCCCTGAAATCAAGTGTGAGAACCAGAAGAAGCTCCAAGCTCCTGGGTTCACCTGGCCCAGCCCAAGTCATTGTGGCCATTTGAGGAGTGAACCAACAGATGGAAGACCTCTCTCTCAATCTCTCTGTAAATCTGCCTTTCAAGTAAATAAAATTGATCTAAAAGAAAATACCCTGTATACAATGTAGTATTTTGGTTATTTCCTCATACAAAGAAAGCTCAGATAAACTGTAGATGAATCCTCCTGGCTTGATGCAATTCAGAAGGATGATTGCCTTCTGCCACCCTGTGGTAGACATCAATGAAAGTTATTAATGGGGAGATGAATGGGCTGCAGCCATGGCTCACTAGGCTAATCCTCTGCCTGTGGTGCCGGTACTCCAGGTTCTAGTCCCAGTTGGGGTGCCAGTCCTGTCCCAGTTGCTCCTCTTCCAGTCCAGCTTTCTGCTGTGGCCCAGGAAGGCAGTGGAGGATGCCCAAGTGCTTGGGCCCTGCACTCGCATGGGAAACCAGGAGAAGCACCTGGCTCCTGGCTTTGGATCAGTGCAGCGTGCCAGCCGTAGCAACCATTTGGGGGGTGAACCAATGGAAGGAAGACCTTTCTGTTTGTCTCTCTCTCTCACTGTCTAACTCTGCCTGTCAGAAAAAAAAAAATGGGAAAATGAATGGACACCATCAGACTGCTTCCTCATATGCCACCTTTCCTTAAAGACATCACTGCTACATTACCAGATTATGTCTCTTGTGTGAAACATATCTCTCCTAACTTGCCAGAAACTTATAGCAGAGCAGGGAATGATGTGCCAAGGACAGTGAGTTAGCCTGAGTAGTCCAGGAATCCTGTTCTTGGCTGTTTTCAAGTTCATATTTTTTTTTTTTTGACAGGCAGAATGGACAGTGAGAGAGAGAGACAGAGAGAAAGGTCTTCCTTTTGCCATTGGTTCACCCTCCAATGGCTGCTGTGGCCGGCGCACTGTGGCCAACGCACCGCGCTGATCCGATGGCAGGAGCCAGGAGCCAGGTGCTTTTCCTGGTCTCCCATGGGGTACAGGGCCCAAGCACTTGGGCCATCCTCCACTGCACTCCCTGGCCACAGCACAGGGCTGGCCTGGAAGAGGGGCAACTGGGACAGAATCCAGCACCCCGACCGGGACTAGAACCCGGTGTGCCAGCGCCGCTAGGTGGAAGATTAGCCTAGTGAGCCGCGGCGCCGGCCCTTTCAAGTTCATATTAATGTACACACAACATAGTTGCTGAGAAAGTGTCTTACAGTTGTTTCCTGGGTGTGAAGCAGCTCTTTTCAGCAGAAACACGTAACTGCTTGTCCACTCGCAAGCACTGTGATAGGGAGTACATGGGAGAAAAGTTCAAAAACACACTGGGTTTCAGAGGAAGATGTTGTTACCCTAACAACCTCTATCCAGGATTCACTTTCTATTTTTACTTCCTAGGCAACCTTACTATGCTAAATGAGTTTCACAGATTAATAATCTGGTGACAACAGGACTCTAACAGAATCTATGAGCCACTCAGTTAATCAAGTGATAACTTCATTATACTGAAAATTAGTCTATAGCAATAGTTTTTAGGGCCACATGTCTCTTTTTTTTTAAAGATGTTTTATTTATTTATTTGAGAGGTAGAAATACAAATATTGAGACAGACAGAAAGGTCTTCCTTCTGCTGGTTCACTCCCCAGTTGGCCAAAATGGCCAGAAGAACTGCATTAATCTAAAGCCAGGAGCCAGGAGCTTCTTCTGGGTCTCCCACATGGAGACCCCCCACATGCCTTCCCAGGACATAGCAGAGAGATGGATCAGAGGAGGAGCAGCTGGGACTCAAACGGGTGCCCATATGGGATGCTGGCACCACAGGCAGAGGATTAACATACTGAGTCACAGTGCCAGCCCAAAGCCACATCTTTTACTATACTGTGTATAGTAAAAGTATAGTATACTATCTCTGTGGGGGGAGGGGAGCATATTTTCTCTTTTCTTCCTTACCCCTCCTCACATTAACACCTTGTATAAAGGCTTCCATAGACCACAGTCATTATGAAAATCTGTCATTAATATCCTCCCATGTTGAAAATGGCATGGGGTTAAACACAGAACTCAGAATAAGAAAAGTAATTTGAAGCTGGTGTGTGGCTGAGCAGGTAAAACCATAAGGGTGCTGGTTCGAGACCTGGCTGCTCCACTCTCTGCTATGGCCTGGGAAAACAGTGGAAGATGGCCCAAATGCTTGGTCCCCTGCATCTGTGTGGGAGACTTGGAAGAATTTCCTGGCTCCTGACTTCCATGCAGTTCTGGCCATTGTGACCATCTGGGGAGTGAACCAGCAGATGGGAGACCTCTCTATCTCTCTGTGCCTTTGCCTCTCTGTAACTCTGCCTTTCAAATAAATAAATAAATAAATTAAAAAGTAACTGACCCTCTTAATTAAAACCATATGGACTGTAAGATAATCAGCTTGGTGGAGCATTGAGTCACTTTAAAGAACTAGAAGAGAAAAATTGCTACTTTTCTGTATTTATGTCTTCATAGCTCTCCATTTTATGAAAATCCATATTAAAGTAGCTCATTATTAACTCACACGGTAGACTTGCATTAATTTCAGTTCACTTCTCACTTTGCAAAGGGATTAGCAGCAGGTAATAATAGTTGACATCCCTAATAACATAAGAAAAAAGGGTTGAAGACAGAAATCGAAAAGCAGGAAAATAAATCAGCTACATTTCCATGGCCTCAAGCTCCAGATTGAAAAAGAGTCTGTTAATTAAACACGGAGGAGACATCAATCTACTAAGCTACTGCACAAGCTTCACATTGCCGCTGGGAAATACAGCCAAACTCATAGCGCCCTGGCTGTCAGATGTGTCCACAGGGTCCAGCCTGGGGGCCACTGGGCCCCACCCAGCTGGAACAACCATGGGGTATTGCTGGAAGCCCAGCCAGAAGGCATTCTCTGACCCACCCTAAATGAGAACTGGGCTAATTTAAATCTAGGGAATGGGACTCCTTCCTTTGCCATGCTCTCAACTGCCCTGCTTGTGCCGTTCCTCGTCCAGTGTACTGTAAGGAGAATTTGAGCGAGGCAGCCCGTGGGACTGGCCGTGCATCGGGAGACTGGGAAGCGGCGGTGGGAGACACAACACCTGGGTTCCAGCCTTGACTCTGCCAGAGGCGCTCCCAGGATCACTGAGAACCAAGTGATCAATGTCTGGGAGCCGCTACCCGCCATCGCACCCACCCCTCTCCCACACACGCATAGATGCCCCTTCCTGTTCTCCATACTTGCTGTGGAAACTCTCGGGAGCACGTCCCCTTTCTTCAGGACACCTGGAGAGCAAAGCGGAAAGTGTGGGACAGGAGAAGTCGCTGGAACTTGGGGCCCACGGTGGCAGATGCAGAGGCACAGAAGCAGCGGGCGGCAGGTCTGGGGTGTGTGCTCCCGAACCGCCTGCAATTGCACTTGCAGAGCAAGACTCCCCAGGGAATGTGGGAGAAGGAGCGGTGTGGCCTCTCAGGGCACACTCTGATCAGTAAATGAACTTCCTCTGTTCTCAACCCCCGGGCCACAGGGAAAGGCACGCGCATGCGTACGTTCTCCCACATGCACACGCACAGGCGCTCAGAGCACGGAAAACGTTAGAGCACCAGGTGACTCTGGGAAATGGAGTCCAGGCCAGGGCATTCCTAGATAGACTTACTGGCCCTCTCCTAGGACTTCAGTACGGGGTGGGTGGAGACAGGCTGGGAACCAGAGGGCGTTTGCTTTTGTTTCCATCCCTCCTTCCCTTCCTTCCCACCCCAGATCTCGAGGGTCAGCTGCTGTTCTTCCTTTCTTGAACAAAATCTTAAGAAGTGACAGCCACTGCTGCTGAGCCCCAAATCCCGGTTCCCTCACACACGCTGTTTCTCAGGAAAATCCCCTGCTGCTTTATTCCTGCACAGCTTCTCGCAAGTAACCCATGACAAGGATTTCAATGTAACTCTCAGCACAGGTGTACACGGCACAGTTTAACATCTAGATTTGAGAATACAATTTTTACTTGTGTCTTTTATTTGTGGTTCTTTTCAAAGTATTTTACACCACCCTCTAATTCACCAAGTACAAAAAAAAAAAAAAAAAAAAAAAAAAAAGAGAACTGGATACAGGACTAACATTGCCAAGTATCTTCTAGGGGCCAGATTAACAGAGTAAATGCCTTACTTTGTATCAATTATACCTCAGGTTAATTCTGGAGACCGTATTCTCAATTTACAAAGAGAAAGCTGAGGTGGAAAGAGATTCGAATTAAATTTGCCCATGGAAGTATGGTAAAAAAAAGTCTAGGTTAAAGGCCAAAGTGAAATATTGGTTTAAGAAATCTTTCAGGACCAGCACTGTGGCATAGTGGGCTAAGCCTCTGCCTTCAGCACCGACATTCTTTATAGGGGCTGGTTCAAGTCCCTGCTGCTCCACTTCCAATCCAGCTTTCTGCTCTAGCCTGGGAAAGCAGTAGAAGATGGCCTGAATGCCTGGGACCCTGCATCCACATCAGAGACCCAGAATTTCCTGGCTCCTGGCTTTGGATCAGCTTAACTATGGCTATTGCAGCCATTTGGGGAGTGAACAAGTGGATGGAAGACTTCTCTCTCTCTCTGCCTCTGCCTCTCTGTAACTCAGCCTTTCAAATAAATAAATCTTCTTTAAAAAAAGAAATATTTCTTTTGTCTTGGGGCTCAGTTTCTAAAACCCAAGATTTCTCATCTCTAAAATAAAAAGTGAGGGAGAGGAGGAGTATCTACAATCCTAATCTTCACTGTAGAGAAACACATAGGATTATAACTTATCTAAAAAAGAAAGGAGGTTCAAAGTTGCTATTGCTGTATGGTTATTTTTCTCAAGTTTAATATCAAGATAGTGTAAATATTATGCATTCTTAGGTATATGTGTGGTGTTTGATTTTTAAGATTTTAAGTAGAAATGTAAATGGAAGCAGGATGACATGGAGTTCTATTTTTGATTACTTCTGTCAATTATAATTCATGGGATTAGAATTGCTGGATTAGGAATGCTTAAATGGATCCATTCATTTCACTCTAATGTTTATTATGTCAGGCAATATTCTTTGTGTAGACTGCTTTTTCTTGCCAGATTGAAAATTCAGGAGGGCAAGAAACATGTTTGCTTTGACATTAAAACTCAGCATCTTGATAGTCATTCTGTTAGCTGAATGAATAAATGAGGCTATAAAAATTAAACAAATACAATTTTTGATCCCCAATAATACCTAGTTGAAGAGACAGTGAAATAGATATCTATTTGATAACAGACACAATTAGATGAATGTATAATTTGTTGCTCAGAGACAACTTTGATAATAAAAGAGATATATTAATAATGACACAGGGCTGAAATGTATAAGCAGAAACCATCCAGGGCCAAGCAGGTTAAATGTTCACCCTAGCTTTGTAAGGCATTCCATTCACTATTTAGTAAGCATTTACTGAGCATTCTTTTGTGTGGTGTGTTGAAAGAACTACCAGCAACATGATTTTCCTAGATATTGGAGCAAGAGAACCTGAGCAATCAGAAAAAGTTGGGATGAACTAAGAGGTTTTTGACACAAAGGTAAGAAAAACAAAAAGCAGAGAGGTCAATTAAAAAGTATATCAATGGTAATTTAGTAGGACCTGAACCAAGGTATGGTGGTAGTGGGAATGAAGAAGAGGCAACCGATTACAGAGAGATCCAAATGGCAGAAACAACAGGATTTCAGTGGTAGATGAAGGCAGGAGGGAACTCATGTGTAAATCTTCATTTGGATTTTATTATTTAATGGACAAGGAGTTCTCAGTACATTCATGTTCATCAGTAATAAAAGGCTACCTACAACTGACTTATAAACTTCCCCTAAATCCAAGACACAATCTCATGGGTAGCTACTATCTATAAGCCTTATGTTGATCATCAAGCCAAATATTTTTAACTGCTACAATCTACAATGGTCCTCATTATGATGCAGTTACTTAGAGACTAGAAGACATAATCCATGTGTATAAGAAAGGTCTAAATAAAAAAGTAAAATTCAGGGGCTTGCGCTGTGGCGCAGCAAGTTTGGCGCAGCAAGTTAACATCCCATATGGGCCCCTATTCGAAACCCGGCTGCTCCACTTTCAATCCAGCTCTCTGCTGTGGCCTGGGAAAGCAGTAGAGGATACTTGCTCCCCTGCACCCACATGGGAGACCTGGAGGAGGCTCCTGGCTGCTGGTTTCGAATCAGAACACCTCTGGCCATTGTGGCCAATTGGAGAGTGAACCATCAGATAGAAGAGCTCTCTCTCTCTCTCTCTCTCTGCCTCCCCTCTCTCTGTGTAACTCTGATTTTCAAATAAATAAATAAATAAATGAATAAATATTTTTTAAAAAGAGTAGTAATGGTCAATATTTATAAAAAAGTTGTTAAAAAACCCACAAAATCATATAATTCAAAGCTAAATTTGGAATACCTCGCTAATTCACAATTTATATATTCACCAACCTTAGGTAACTAAAGCACAATTAAGCAGGAAAGAAGTAAAAAAATTTCCCTAGAGAGGGGCCGGCACTATGGCATAGTGGGTAAAGCTACCACCTGCAGTGTGGCATCCCATATGGGCATCGGTTCAAGTCCTGGCTGCTCCACTTCTGATCCAGCTCTCTGCTATGGCCTGGGAAAGCAGTAGAAGATGGCCCAAGGCCTTGGGCTCCCGCACCCATGTGGGAGACCTGGAAGTGGCTCCTGACTCCTGGCTTCAGATTGACACAGCTCTGGCCATTGCAGCCAATTGGGAATGAACCAACGGATGGAGGACCTTTCCCTCTCTTTCTTCCTCTCCTTCTCTCTCTGTGTAACTATTTCAAATCAATAAATAAATCTTTTCAAAAACAATTTCCTGGAATAGCCAAAATGCACATTATAAAGTCCAAGTAAGGTGTCTAGCCACTGGCTCACCATCCTGACTCATAAAAACTCACTCTGTCCTGGCTACTCTGATATGAGTGGATGGACACAAAGCAGAAAAGAAAACAATAGGTTTGAGCAGTGGATAAATGGAAAGGGCTCCAACAACAATGCTGCAGAGAGCTCTGTGGCTCCTAACTGAATGTGATATGCAGGCAGGCATCTCCTTAATTTCTGCCATACTCTCAGTTGTTCTAGGACCATAGAACTGAGCACAAGAATCAGAGCTTTCAAGTCCAACATCCACAATTCACTTAGTGATAGGGGAGCACTGTAGCTTTGCTTCATGAGTACAACTAATCCTCCACACTTGATATGTCATCCTGTTTGGATCCACTGGAACTGGAGAGCGTATGGGGTCAGAGGGAGTATAGGAGCAAGGTGTGTGAGGGACTCATGGTGGTGGTAGCTGTGCAGAGGAAAGGGTGGAGGAGGAGGAGAAGAGCAAGAGCCCCTAGCACTGTGGGAATGAGGAGCCGAGGATGAATGGAGACAGGGGTGACTTGTCTGCATTATGCCTGGTACTCTCCTGGGGTATAATTGATGCAACATGAATAATGTGAATATCATGATTACCCTAAAGGCAATTTCAGTCCTGGTAGATGGATGACAAGGACATAGATAATTAAAAACAATGTGACAAAAGTTGTAGGTGCACAATACAATCACCTACATCATTTGTGGATGCCATGCCCATAAGGCAGGAACCACCAGGTTAAGGTCAGATCTCAGGGCTGGCATTGTGGTGTAGAGGGTAAAGCCACCCCCAGCAGTGCCAGCATCCCATATGGGCACTGGTTCAAT